TGACCACACCAACGTGTCAGGGAGATTCCCTTTTTAACATGCTTAAGAGTTTGTTTGGGGAAGTAGTCTGTACTCTAAGCTATTTTAGTTTAGTCAAAAATTATTTCAACTCAAATATAGCCCCACTCTAAATCTTATACTTCAGGGATTGGAGTAAGTAAAAATTTTTGCCAGCAGACACTATCTTTTCCCCGCATAGGGTTGAAATGTATAATTCTGAAGGGAAAAGATCTTATCTGTTAACAGAATTTTTACTTGTCCAGCTGCCTATAACAAGTTCAGAGTGGGGGCTATACTCTTGCTTTGGCTTAAACCCCACTACTCTCCCCATCACTGGTAGCTAGGCATATTGCTGTTTTCTTCAGGAGTCCTACCTTTCACATGTTGGAAGGTAACAAGGAGCTACTCCTGGGAGGTGTCCCTGTGAGGGAATGACAAGGCAAGGTAGGGGATGGTCATGGGGTGAGTGGTACCTACGAGAAAGTCCAATAGCCAGGCTCGGTGGCTCAGCCTGTGATCCCATGCCTTGGGAGGCTGAGGTGAGTGGATTGCCTGAGCTCGAGGGTTCAAGACCCGCCTGGGCAACTTGGTGAGACCTCATCGCTACAATAAATAAAAATAAAAATAAAAATTAGTTGGGTGTAGTAGCATGCACCTGTAGTTCCAGCTACTTGGAAGGCTGAGGCGAAAGGATCGCTGGATCCTTCCGCCTCAGCCTTCCAAGTAGCTGGAAGTGGGAGCGGCTACTGCACTCCAGTCTGGGTGACAGAATGAGACTCCAACTCAAAAAAAAAAAAAAAAAAGAAAGTCCAATAGCTTTGAAGAGATAGAAAAGTCATTTCATCTTCATTCTCTCTGAAGGACAGGTGGGTTTCTCTTTTGCCTGGCAAATGGAAAGCGTAGAAATAGTGTTGGCACTATAGAACTGGGCATATATCAGAACAATTGGCAAAACACAAAAATATTTTAAAAAATAAAAACAGGTTTGTTGTAATTTTAAAGGTTTCACAATGTCCATTTAAAGAAAAAGGATCACAAACACAAGAAGTCAGAAGGTAAGCATCTGCTCTTTAGGAACATAAATGCTATGATAAGACTATGAATTTTTGTAAATAGCATTGTAGAAGAGAATTACCTTGATAAACAGAGCAGTAATACAACCTAAAAAAAATGACAAAAGCTTTTTTTCTTTCTCTCTCCCTAAGGAAGAGTCCTTGTTCTGGTTTAAAACCTATTTGTGTTTTCCTGCATACAAGAAAAAAAAGAGTTATTTAAGAAAGATCTTCAAATTACCTTGTTATGATCGGTTTAATCAGAACCTTCATTGTCTTTTACTTAAAAAGAATTAATGAAGTACTTTAAAAACTGTACACTGGTGGTCATTGAGTCTTCTTAATGTGCATAAAGACTGCTTAATGGGTTAATATTTGACAAAGGGAACTCCCCTTACCTTTCAGTTCTCTTAAACATATGTCTACATTAGACAGTATTTTTTAAATTACCTACATTTTTACCCTATTTAAATTAGGCCTAATACACACATGAACAGCCATACAGTTAGAAATAACTTTTTTAGAAAAAGATTGAAGCACATGCAAAATAACATATACATAGTTATTTTCTTTGTCCCCTTATGTTTCAGAGTCTGGGATCTTGCTCACCAGGCTGCATGGTAACTATAAGTTGATAAAGACACCTACAACACTAGCCCATGAACTTAGCCAGGGCAGAGAGGCAGGACTCTCCTTCCCGTGCCCCAACCAAACCCAGAGCCAGACACTTGTAAGATTAGCAATCACGGCTGCCGAATAACTGTCTCAGTCCTTGGGTGATTTTAATCATTAGTCCCGTTTAGACATAAAATGTTAATGTTTTTTAAACCCAACCAAAAGGAATGAAAGAGCATGAATGCTTCCTAGTGGAGCAGATTCACGGAGTGGTTTCCTATATGTAGTTATTGGAAAGGGTGACCAGATTGAGAGGATACTGCTATACCTGAATAAGATGATATTGGATTACCGTAGAAAGGTTGAACAGAACCTTTGAATCTCAAATACAATATATCTCTGGGGGGAAAAGAAAACTTTCTACCTGTATACTACAAAGACAGTGTTGTATTCCAGCACAAATATACCTCTGCTGAGATACTGCTTTGCTAAACTACTGCTAAGACACAATGAGTGACCTTAGAAATGGGTGCAAAGCTATGTCGGGTGAGAAGCACCACTATTAACACACACAGCACCACACACTTGCTTACAAGTGAGGTTACCATCCTCCAAAATGCAGAATAGGACTGAGAACAAGAGACAAAAGAAAAGAAAAAAAAAAAAAACGTAGTTTTTTTTTTTTTCAGATCGGTGGCTTACTGTGACCTAGTATGCCTAATGATATTTAAGCAATCTGAAATGTACCGGTTCAATCAAGGATTGCTAAAAAAGAGCGATCAGGTCTCATTAGAAAGTACAACAAAAAGTAACAGGATGCACAAAAGAAAGCCATGTTTTCAACGGACATTAAATAACAACAAAGGCCCTGAAACAGAAGAGAGAGCAGAGTGAACTATAAAATTTTACGAAGGTCCAGAAATATAATCACTCAGCAGCACATGACTGAAAACTCTAGGAGCAATAATGTGCTTTTTCTACAAAATAAATTATTGAAAGGGGTCACGTGATTTTTAGCAAGCAGAAAGATGCTCTTTCCCAAGGAAAGTTCATCATGGAATATATTATTTAAGACTAGATCATCTTCAGGCTATTTTTAATTCTATCATTTTGCTGCCAAAATTGGCCATAAGCAGCTGATACTCAGACACTAGAAAAATGATGCTCTTTCATGTAATTTGTACACTGGCATGAGAATGGTATTGCTTTCCAGTTAATCAAATGTCTTGCTGCATGTGAACTGCATTCAGAAAAGAAAAACTGCTTGCTGACTAACTAATAAAAAGGAAGCCGACCTCCACTGGGTGTGGAGAAGCTCCTATCTTTCTAAATCACCAATACCAAAAGACCAAAAAAAAGTCAGACTACCATCATATCAACAGAATGAAGCCACTCCTGCCATCTTTTGTTTGAATCATCTTACTCTTCTTGTATTCCACACTTCCCTTCCTCCCAAGACGGAAGTTGAATATTGTTACAGTTTCCAGTTTGGAGGGTGCTAACCATTTCCACTCACCATCCCTTGTTCATATCTCAGCTGTTTGCCTGTAAGATTCCCTTTGTCTCAAATCAGCCGCAAGGTCACTAAAGTCATTTACAGAATTTAAACTGTGTTATGAGGGAATAAAATAATAACTAACAGCTATTAAAAGAGCTCTCTTTCCTTTCACTGAAGAAGAAAAGTTATCTTACTTTTTAATGGGACCAGTGATGCCAATACAAACTGTAACTACCATGAAACACATTCTTGAGAAGACTGGGCTTATATTAATTTACCTTCTCTCCCGCCGTCATTCCAATCTATTTCTTCCTAGGGTCATATCACACTAGTGGACATCTGGGAAATAATATTCAGTATTTCAGGTGATACTACAGACCTTTACGGCCACTCAAAAGGGACACTGCAGAATCCATCGCAGGTTGCAGTTCTTCCTAAAAGATGCTCCAGAAATCAAGGACGGCAGCCAGTATCTCTAACTTTAATACACCTGCCAGCCTCAGATTCTGACTCAGTAGCTCTCAGGTGGAACCTGAGATTTTGCACATCCAGAAAGTTCCAAGCTACTCTGAGCAGCAAGGTTTCGACATTTTCTGGAACTGCTGCTCTCCTGCCATTCCCTCTTTTCTGCCTTTCTCTGGATGTCACACAATACCTTATTCAGCCCTAGGAATAAAGCCACACTCCACTCTACACCCAATTACTTCTTTAGTCTTTATTTAATTTGTAGGCTTCTGGGACAATCTATCAGAAGCGGATCATTCCAAGGACCTGATTTCTCCATGTTCTGGGACACGAAATTCAACCAGATTTCCTCAGCCTCAGAAGGTTCTGATTTTGCAGGAGCAGCGGCAAAGAAAAAGAAGTGACTTGGAGCGTAAAGCCTGGAGTATTCAGTGTAGTGTTCAGTGGATGAACTGATCCACTGAACCCTGGGAACAGTACAGATTATTGTCACATGTCAAGAAAATGCGCCAGCTCTTTTGAAACTTTACCATTAAGAATACTTAACATTGTAAAATGAAGCATACTATTAGAGATGCAACCCTGACTGATGCAAATTTGGAGGAAAATCTCTGTATGCCAAATGCCTCAAATTGTAGATTAATAATGAACATGGAAATAATAGGCAAATCATTTATAATTCTCAAATATACCATTTTTACTCCAAAGTACCCTATGATTGCCTTTCTTGGTGTGTGTGTATGTTTATAAAGTTGTTGTTGTTTTTTTTTTTTTTTACCAAATTCCTTTGTTTCCTATATAGCTACCATCTATGTATTGCTCTGAAACCTACTACACATTTTACCATCAGCCATTCGTGTTTCTATATGATGTATTTTTACTATAAGAGGTTTTGTCAAAATTTTTTCATCATGTTCTACAGTATGTCCTTGTGGTTTGGCATCCTAAAACATAGCCTCTTCATTTATCAATCTCAGATACCTGTTGACCACAAAGTCAGGCTCTGCCATGAAAACTCTATTTTGAAAGGAAAGAAAAGTGAGCTTTACTTAAAAAGAAACCTCAGTTGCACAGGATGTCAAAATACAAAAACTCAACAACAAATATGAAGGCAATATTTTAACTTCTATCATAAACATATGTCTCTGTCTTTCCATCTTTTTATTAACTTAATTGAAAGATAACACCACCTTGGATTTCTTTCAAATAGTCATTAAATTAATATCTTTTTCATAATAATAGCAAAACTATTAAATCAGTTTTACATTGGTCTTTAAATGATCTACTCAGAGTCTAGAAGTCCCTCTTTGGTTATAGTGGTTAAAAATCAAACCACCTACTTAACCAAATATTTAACAAAAATATTCTTTTCACCCTTTGGCAAGTTCTTTCAGAGTGACTAAAGATCTGTTCATGCGGAATCTCAACAAACAATCTGAGAAGAACATTTAAATTTTAGAAATTTAAATTGGAGTATTTTAGTTCATTTTACTTTTAAACACTGAACAGTATTATCAATATTTTGTCAACTTCGGTCAAATAAGATCAGATGTTCACATCAATCATTTAGTTTTCTTGGACTTTTCTCTTTTTGGCCCCTTAATATTAGCACATTTGGGAAGTGTCATAAAAAATATGTAATGTGCTTCTTGACATCTAATCCACTCGCAGTCATTTCTAGGCTTTTTACTCCTGTTAGGTCCTATAAAATAATAACATTAGTCATTCTCCCAAGAGACTATGAAAGGAAGCACTGAATTGCATCCTTTTTCAAAGATAACGCTTCAGATTAAAACAAAAAGTGTTCCAAAAAAACTTCAGACGAAAATTGTTAGCTTTTCATAAATTAATCATTTTGGATATAAGATGTAGATCTTAGTTACAATTCTTAAATCTTAGGATCTGTATCCCTCCCCCAAAAGAATCATGGGAAAATATAACTATCTGTAAAATGATGGACACTCTATCTAGCGCAGTACCAGGAAAGATCACCTCATGGATGGTCTTCAAAGTCCCGTGTAACAATCACTCCAAGTAATGTCAGGCATGAGAGAATCCACAGCTAAGAATCAATTGCATCTACACATTACATAGGTATCCTAGAGGGCAAAATTTTTCAGGAGACCACAAAATTAGGTAGATTCCAAGTGATGAAAAAAAAAAGACACAGAAATTCCAGTAAATCTGTAAATCACACACAAATTATAGAACACGAAGTATGCAGCCGATGCACACTCTGTCACTGATGAAACAAAGTAAAGCATCCATACCCCATGGTTAAGACACATCATCCTACCCACTAGGTATACGGCACACTGTAGATTCCAGGCCAAGGACTTGCTGAATATCAACTTACCTCTCTCCAAAACACAACTAGGTTTTCCAGGGAGAGGGGCTACATTGATTTTTCTTTTAGGGAAATTTTTACCAAGAGAATCAGAAAAAGCATGCCCTTAGTACTCTGGTGGAGTCTGTTCTTCCAGTTGGGTAGCTCTCAATCTTTAGTTCACAGGGAACTTGTTTAAGCCGGGGTGGTTTAAGAAGCAGATGGTCAAGACTCAACCTACGGGACCTGGTTCATAAGTTGCTGCACCCAGCAGCGCCGGGCCAGGTAACTGTGAGGCTGGGGACCTCTGGCCCAACCATCTGAGACCCACTAAAGGAATACCATTTACCACGACATCTCATTGGAGGGCAAGTGCGGGATCCTTGAACCTCAGTGGCTGGTAAGCAAGTTAAACATTTTCGGCTGGAAGGAGTCACCGCAGTCAGGTTGGCCGGGAGCGTTTAGACCCGGGGAGTGGTGGGGGCGGGGGGTGGGGGGTGGGAAGCAGCGAAGCAACACACCGTTTTATTTCACTGGCTCAACTGCCTCCCCTTTCCCCAGGGGTCCCCCCCCCACTCCAGCCACCGCATCTCTCACCCGAGACCTCACGCCCCGACGCGCATCCACCAAGCATGCACCTACCCAGCCTCCGTTATCCTGGATCCAGGTGTGCAGGTGCCGGTTCAGGTACTCAGTCATCCACAGGGCGATGTTGTCCACCAGGGGCGACATCTCCCGGTTGACGCTCTCCACACACATGACCCCACCGAACTCAAAGAAGGCCACAATCCTCCCCCAGTTCACCCCGTCCCTGAAGAGCTCCTCCACCACCGTGGCAAAGCGTCCCCTCGCGGTGA